TCTGCTTATCCCTATATAATTTATCAAATATAAGGTCAGCTTTGGTTACATCGAACGAGAACGTTCTAGCCTTTATGTTTCCATCTTTCATGGGCTCATCTTTGCCTGATGGTCTAGGTTTAGCCATTATAGGATAAGTATACTTGTCTCCTTTGACCAATTCGGCCAAACACATTTTGGCTTGATCGTATGACTCATCGCTGATGGTATGAACGTCAAAATTTGGGTCTTTGTAATAAGTCCCTTTACTAGAATTTTTCATCTGCTATTCTTCTCTTATCAGTTGTTCATACCTAATCACATTCGCACTCAAATGGAAAAGGTCTGGAAATTCCTTGTCTTGGAATTTCTTTTTTAAATCAAAGCTCAAACAACCCTGAGCGATTTTGACAAATTCTTTTTCAGGTAGAGGTACAAAACACTTGCTTCTTGCTATTTTGAACCTTTGGAGAAAACTTTCTGCCCATTCATTTGGCATTTGACGTAGATTCGCCAAATCAGTCAAAATGACTTCAGACTCAGTTTTATAAAATTGAGTGTGGAATAATTGTTCCAATTGTTGCCATGTTTGAACAGAGTTCGCTGGCAAGTTGATGAACCAGGAGAAAGCTACTCCTGTTAATGAACTAGGGAAAAGCCTCATTTTATGGTAATCAGTTACATCACCACTTTGCAATGTGATCGTCCTATGTGTTCTAGAGTAGACACCTCTCCTAAACCGGTAAATAGTGAGAATTCTGGCATTTTATACCCTCTAGGCCATAGATATACTTGGTCTATCCAATCAGGATATGACTTTGTGTAAGTCGGCCTAATGACAGGACGCACCCCAAAAGTCATCTGATCCTGTACGATTTCCATAATCTGATTCCTCAACATGACGTTGGAGTCATATGAAATTCCTATAGGTTGATTAACCGGTTGATTTGCATGAGGTCTAATGTTTGGTCCTTGATTGGCAACAAAGTTACCATGATTAGGGCCATTACCATTAGCCTGAACATCTATTCCCTCATTAACACGTGGGGTATTCTGTCCATTGTTTAGGACATTATCTCTTACATTTGGATTACCCCCAAGCTAGGCGTACCACTACCATTGTTCTGATTTGGCACTGCACCACCCCCTTGGTTTGAAGTAGAGGGACCAGAAAGTGGTTCTATCCCTTGATTCGGGTTTAAGACTGAGGGATTATATCCCACAATTGTCCTAGTTTGAAAGTGGTTTGCAAGAGGCATAACCGGTTGACATATTTGGCCTACTAACTTATTCATTGTTTCGTTCAAAATGTTTAGTTGTTTGATCATGTTGTCATAATGTGCATTCCCATTTTGGGTAAATCTTTCCATATTATAAATACTTCGAAGATTTACCTGTTCAACGACATCTTGTGTGAGTTTTCCAAGTAGTGCACGCATGGTTCGAGGACTCAACTCTGTCATTGGTTCGTAACGACTGTTATTGCTCTGATTCTGTCCATCTGTTCGTGGAGAGGCATGCTGCTCCTCATATCGCTCGATCACAGACTAGACTCCTCCCTGACTTGCTGCTTCCTTATCGGATTTCTGAGGCATATTGTTTCACATTTTGTATTTTCAACACCAAACACCACAGTCCCATTGGGCGTGCCAAATTGTTTCGCGCAGGTTCGTCGCTAACAATTAAAAGGGATCAAACGATTGTGTAAGGGACAAACCTCTTGAGACAAAGTCCCAAAAATGAGTGTTCTTTATTGGCGATGACTTTACAATTGGAAATTAAAAACCATATGCCTCCAAGGGGTGCAAGCACACGAGTTACTGAAAGAAGTGTTTAAATCTAAGCTAAGAAATTTAAAATTACATGTTCTCTGTTCGAGAGTTTTTTGATTCGGGGTCTATTGCTTTATGTCTTTTCTTCATTTTATACTCCTTGGATGATCTCTTTGTGATCAACCGCCTAAAAATTGTTTGATCGTTCTATAACTGCCCACTTTCCTCGTAATAGCCAACTTGTCATGGAACTACTTTTTTTAACTGCTGCCATTACTCATCGTCGTTCAACCGTTTTCGATTGAATTTCTTGAATCGTGGAACGTGATAGGGCTGCTTAATAACTGTTTTGATAACAGCGCTTCTTAATAACCACAACACTTCATGTTTGCTAAGACCTTGGGCGACTCGAAGGTTTGTGCGAGAATAGAGTAGCAGTTCTGGGCGACTGCATGGCACTCCATTCGCTCAGGTCCTGGGCGATTTGCAAGCTTAGGCGATGGTGTTACCGCGTTCCCGGGCTTCCCTATTTGGGCTTTCATCCTAAATTGTCTGATTATGCTTCATTCTTTGGGCTATCTGATTTGGGAATCCTCCCATTGGGCTTCATTTCTTGGGCCGTTCGATTTGGACCGAATTTTTATGTGTCAAAATCTCTGATAATCACGCCCTCACATGGGATGCGTAGATCTCATGCGAATAAAATAATCTCAACCCCGATGTGTGTTTGTGCGTTCATCCCCATAGTCATCCATGGGGTCGTATAGTACGGATGTTTTACTTTTTTTTTTATTATTATTATTATTTTTTATGGCTCAGTTTTTTTATACAGTTTCAAGGGTCCACATTATCTACAAGATTGAGATATTTAAACAAATAAATTAAAGTGGGCGGTTTAATTGCTGAGAACTTGCTACGTGTACGGCTTCGTGTCATTCATGAAGATGAGTTCAAAACGGTAATGATACAGACGACAAATCGTCCATATCAGAACCTTCCATTAGGACAAATGCAGAAAACTACATGGCCAATTAATTTAATTCAATTCAAAATTAATAATTAATTTTAATTATATATTATATGGAGTTCATAAGTTCAACTATATATTTCATCAATTTTTTTATCATGATATATTAAAAATCCGATTTTATTTTGAGAAATTTATGATGTGGTGGATGTCATGGGCCTGCACATGGTGAAGATATTGACTAGGAATATGATATTAAGATGTTTGGGATCCATAAATACAAATTTTGCAGAAAATATATTTTAGAAAATAAATTTTTAGAGAATATGCGGTTAAAAAATAAGGAAAAAATTTGAATTTACGTGATATTATTTTATTGGAGAAAGTTGGGTTAAAAATAAGAGAGAGAAAAACATATTTTTGAAATAATGAAGCTCAATTCATATTCTCGGTTTAGCTAAACATATTGATAAAAATTAATGTGAAAACCAACAACAAATTTAATCATACAATTAATTTTTATTAATTTTTTAATCATATATTCCATTAATTATTATTAAAATATACTAAAAATATAACTTTTAGCTAAATCAAACCGGACTGTATTTCAAAATGAGTATACTTTGAAAAAGATGGTTATAATAGTTGCAAGGAGTCAACAAAATACCAAATATAATGACGACAGCATAACGTGGATATATGAAATATATGCGTCATAATTAACTTTATATTTTCAAATAATGAAGATCAGGTTGTAAACTTCCGGCTGTGCTTGTGTTTATTATTATTATTATTATTATTATTTTTCTTTCTTCTTCTTCTTCTTAATTTTTTTTTTATTTTTTTTTTGGAAATGACACGCTACATCGACCATATTTAAAAGAACAAACACGCGATGAACAAATGCAAAATAAATTTTTTAAAAAAATTTAAAATTTTTTAAAAAAATTTAAAATTTTTTAATTAATCCTTATAACTCAAACTAATATAATTTGGATATTATAATAAAATATTCATTACTCACGAGCATTTTGCACTAGAGCAGGAAAAAAATATAGATGAAAGTTCTATACAAACATTCAATGAAGATTATAAAGATGAACTTTTATCTCATTAGAATGGTAAGTATTATAGGGTGACAACAAAAATTTCATGTCAAGAATGTCTTGATAAAACAAAGATTAAATTAATTGGATAATTTTTTATTTCATTTTTTGATAGGGACATACATTCTATTCAATCTTTTTGACAAAAAAATTTAATGCAAATATTGATATCTACTATAAACTTATTCATCAATTAATTGACGTACTATGTTACTGAATTTACCAATGCATAGTAGATCATTTCTCCTGTAATATGTGATCGGATAATAAGGAGTTATATATAAAGAATAAATCTGATCATAAACTATTCGTACAAACAAGGCAATAAGTTCATTCTCTCCCCGTTCGTCCATGTGACGGTTGCTATCTACATAACCTAGAAAGCATTGTGAATTCGTTAATTAGATAGAGAAAGTACTTTGATTAGCAACCTTTCAAGTTGAACGATAGCACAACGGCTCTTCTAACTTTTAATATATTCTTGAATCCTCTATTTTTTTTTAAAAATAAATAAAAATAAATTGAGCTAATCAAGTAAGTCTCCATGAGTTGTTATGACACCACTAAATTTGAAACTTCAAACAAAAGTGCCAATTTGAATTCATCTCATAAAGGCTCCAAGAACCATGAGTACCTTTGAGCCCTAAAAAGTAATGCTAACAATCAAAACCCAGCCCCATCCCTCACTTTCAATATTCCCTGAAAAGTATAATTCCCCAAGAAGTATCATTTTCTTCCAAGATGTATCATTTTCTTACCCAAGGAGATTGTGACAGAGTGATGGATCACCTTTGGTCCTTGAATATTAGTCTTTTTCCAATAAAAATAAAAAATAAAAACAAATAAATAAATAAATAATGGTGGACAAATAATTAATTAAAATGAATTAATTAATTAATTAGGTTGATATGTATCTTGGTTATAACAGGAAAATATTATTAAATTTAGCATGTTATTTGATATTTTTACTATACTTATTAGATATTATTTTTTCTTTTCTATAATTCCGGTTTCCTCTTACAAATAGTTCTACACCAAATATTTGAGAAGTTATTTAACTAATAAAACAACACTTCAGATAATTGATTATTGATCTTCCGTAAGTAATAACGAGTTTAAATTAAATTAAGTATTTATATTAATTATTACAGTTAATTTGACAAGCTTAATGTATGTTTTAATGATTTATGAACTTATTTTAGTTCCAAAATTATTTATTAACTGGGGAATTTTTATTACTTAGGTTGGATAATTACATGTTATTATGTGAATTCCTAACGTCCCATTTTGTATCACCGATGTCTGAATATGAATGAAGCCACGTATAGATTCGGCCAACCTCTTATATTAACCACCATACTGTCGTCTACAACTTCAGCCGCGACGAGAAAATCAATCCATTAATGGCAGGTCAATCAAGAAAGTGGATGATCCTAGTCGCCACCATATGGATTCAGACATTTACAGGAACAAATTTCGACTTCTCAGCCTACTCGTCGGAGCTGAAGGCGGTTCTAGGGGTGTCACAGGTACAGCTGAACTATTTGGCCACCGCCTCCGACCTTGGGAAGATGTTTGGGTGGTCGTCGGGGCTGGCGTTGATGTACCTGCCGCTGTGGGCGGTGATGTTTACGGCGGCACTCATGGGGTTCATTGGCTATGGAGTCCAGTGGCTTATCATGCAGAAAGTCATTGCCTTGCCATATTTTGTGGTCAGTTATTCATAATTCTGCCTTCTATGTGGTATTTATTCAATTATAATTACTATTATTTATAACTCTACTCTGTCTTCCCGCTGAATAAGGATGTTCAACACGACGAATCACGTAATAGATTTTCTCCATTTTCAGTGAATGGACGCAGCTTAGAACACAGTGAAAAAAGGATTGAGAGTAGAAGTACTTCCCACATGACTATAATAAGTCCTTGATTGATTTAGCTAAAAAGAGTAGATATAAAATAATTACACATTTTATGGAATCCATTCTTTTATAAATTTTTTAATCGCATCTTTTATTAATATTTATAAAAATCTATTAAAATATGATTTTTAGAAAAATTATTCAGGGAGTAAGTTTACTATAAGTGTGTGTGTGTATATATATATTTATTATTATTTTTTTTTTTGTTCAAAGATTTGGCCAAAAAAAAATAGTGGGGGTAGCTAAAGGTCTATATATATATAAAGAAAGAAAGACTTCTACACCACAAATAAATTTTTTCATAATGGAAAGGGACAATGAAACAAAAACCTTAATAGCCATTCCAACCGCATTTGACCTTTAGGTACACCCACCATTCTTTTTTGGCCACATCTTTGAAAATATGTGTATATATATATATATATATATATATATATATAAAATTCATTTTTCGACATTCAACAAAATGGGGTCAAGAAAATTAGGTTTTCATTATGCATGTAACTAAAGTTGGTGGGTGTTTTATATTTATCCTTATAATATTCTGATCGTAGTTGTTTTCTAGAGTAATATTGATATTGTTAATTGAGTATTTTATTAGAACTTAAATGTCCATAAAAAAGCACTAAAGTGGAAAGAATTTACTTATTTGTTTTGTCTAATATAATTGACAGAGACATTGTAGCTGCATTCTCGAATAGTATTCTTATAGTAGTAAATCAAGATACTCTTTTACCTACAAAATGTGTCAATCAATAAGTTTATTATTGATTTAAGTATTCAAGATTTTTGTTTATTTTGGTAAAATTAAAGTGATACATATCATGCTTGATTTTAGGATTATGTTCTCAATGTTCATGAAATTTATCATTCATTGTGTATCTTGTCCAATTAACGATGCACAATTTTTAGATATATTGATGATATTATGTCCCTATTTGGTATAAATTAAAATCTAGATGTTAATATAAATCAAAGTCAACAATTTATTTTAACCATATATTTTATGGGTTATACAACTTTTCAATCATACATTTCATCAACTTATATCAAAATCTACCAAAAATCTAATTTTAATCCTGACAAATAGGGGCTATAAATATTTTGGATTGGACCACTTGTCGTGTAGTCTACTGAAGGCTATATAAATATTTTGTATTGATAATCAATAACATATGCACTACGTTAAAATAGATAAGTAGCTCGTGCATGTATTTGGGTTCTTCATTTACTTTCAATCTTATCTAGGTCTAACATATGTGTCTGTCGTAGTACAACTCAATTGGGTGCTTAGTCCCATTTAGGGATGTCAACGAGTTGAAATCAAGTTTGGATTCGATTCGAGTAAAATGGTGTGGGCTTTTTTTGGGCTAGAGTCGAGTCGAGCTTTGCTTAGCTTAAAAATCTAGGCTCGACCCACATTTTCGGCTCATTATGGGCCGAAAAGGGCAGGGGCCGGCTGGTCAGGGTTTTTCCTAGACGAGTCACAGGCGGTCCGAGCCGATAAGCTAAATTGACAACCTAGTTGCATCTGCCCTCTCTACTCTTCTTTTTGATAAATTTCTTCAATATAACGTGTAATATTGTTCCAAATAAACTTGTTGCAATTCATAAAGATAAAATTTGTATCTTGAACTTATGTTTAAAATGCAATATTACAGGTATTTTTACTTTGTTTTTTGGCTGGTTGCAGCATCTGCTGGTTCAATACAGTTTGTTTTATTCTCTGCATAAAGAATTTCTCAAGTAATCAACCACTTGCTCTTTCTCTCACAGTCAGTTTCAATGGCTTGAGCACTGCCTTTTACAACCTTGCTGAAAAATCACTTAACCCTTCATCAACCACATTGTATCTTCTTCTCAACGCTTTCATTCCGCTCTTGACATCTGTAGCAGCCCTTTTCCCTATCCTTTTGCAACCCCCAGTGGATGTTCTTTCGTCTGATGCTGTTAAACGCGATCAATTTATATTCATCGCTTTAAATTTGTGGGCTGTTGTGACGGGATTCTACCTTCTCTTCCTCCATTCTTTAAATGCAGCAACAGCTCGTTTCCTCTTTGCCGGTGCCATTTTTCTACTTGTTTTCCCTTTTGGTATCCCCGGTGTTATCTATGCTCGAGATTGGTTCCATCGCACAATTTACTCGAGCTTCCAACTTCCAAGCTCGGGTTTTATCCTTGTTGATGCCGATGATCTTGAATTTCATGAAGAGCTCCTGAGTCAAGAGAATAATGTAGACGATAGTACAGTTCATATAGTATCTAGACAAAACACGGGAACTAGTGAAGGGTGTTCCTGTGAGACTGTAATGAAGAAGGATTGTCTGACGGTGCTCGGGGAAGATCATAAGGCCCCAATCCTCCTTCGTAGGGTTGATTTTTGGCTATACTATCTTGCTTATCTTTGTGGAGGCACAATTGGGCTAGTGTACAGTAATAATCTTGGGCAGATAGCCCAATCACTTGGATATTATTCAATGACTTCAAGGCTCATTACAACGTATTCTTCGTTCTCTTTCTTCGCGCGCTTGCTTTCAGCTGCACCAGACCTCATTCGAACGTAAGTGAACAGACTGAAACTATATTTCATACTGACCTTAATTTCCAGGGTGAATTGCTAGTTTTCGGATACAAGATATCCATCCTAGTTACTATGGTTGTATTTGCCCTAACCTTTAGGCTTGTTATCTGGGAACTTGTTCAAAAATACTATAATGAAAGGAACATAAGAGTTTTTCGCTAGGCATTTGACCAAAATGTGTCTTCCTGTTACAAATTATATACAAAAGAATATGAGAATATCCTCTAACCAGGAAACTAAATTGTTTATAAGTCCCGAATCCCATCCTTTAGAAAACAGATCAACTGAATTGCTCTCGGAAGTACCCGTAAAATTGATGAGGTACATGTGCAGGAAGCTATACTTTGCGCGGACCGGATGGCTAGCCATAGCCCTTCTGCCAATGCCAATGGCCTATTTCTTGCTTGCCGTGAATAGTGGGGAGGCTGCAGTTCATGTTGGCACCGCCCTAGTAGGACTAGCCATGGGATTTATATTTGCTGCTGCGGTTTCAGTAACATCTGAGCTTTTCGGCCCCAATAGTGTGGGTGTCAACCACAACATTCTCATCACAAATATCCCCATCGGATCACTTGTCTACGGTGTTCTATCTGCTGTTGTTTACGATTCCCATGCCGAGTTTGGTTTAGGCCTAATGGGTGATTCAATGGTGTGTATGGGAAGAAAATGCTATGGCTTGACTTTTGTATTCTGGGGATGCATTTCTATCCTGGGATTAGCCTCAAGTTTGCTACTATTCTTAAGAACCAGGCCTGCTTATGACAGGTTTGAACAAAAGAAAAGATCAACAATATTGTACTAATGATAATATCTTAAATGTGATCACAAAATGATTGAAATTCTTCCCTAATGAAAATACTAGGTATTTTTATGGTTTTCCGACAAATATTTTCCTTCTAGTAGTATTAATTTTTGTTGGAACAGCGATTCTGAGGAAAATTGCTGGTAGATCAAGAATTCAAATAAATTAAGTCTTGTTCTTAATCAATTTGGAGTCGATTACATGAATCCTTAGCAACTACATTTAGTTGTGCATTAGTTTTTATTATTATTAACACTTTCTTCACCTCGAACGGTGTAAGTAGAGTTATCAATGGATTGAATTTTGATTCAAATCTGACTAAATTAATAAGAAATGGATTTAGAGTCTCAATCCGATAATATGATCAAGATTTGAATTTGATAATCCGTTAACTAAATGGATCAAATATGGATATTGGTTAATCTGACTCGATAACAACTCAATCCGATTTGTTATAAGTAGTTGAGGCAGTTAAATACTTTTGTGGCTCGTTATTTTCCACTAAAATAAATAAATGAGAAAATAAAAAAATTTAGAATAAAAAGTCATCAAAACTCAAAACATAAATAATAATAATAATAATAAGAAGAAGAAGAAGAAGAAGAAGAAGAAGAAGAAGAAGAAGAAAGTCAATCCATGTGTACACAATGTTCTAAAAAACATAATGAGGACGAGGCGTAAATGTTTCATGCTAGGCAAGTCTAAATGAAGCATAGGCTTCAAAAACCATGAAAATGTATTTTCTTATTTTAATATTATTTTAAAATTTTAATCAATCTAAAAATTATTTAATAATACATACAAAACATTATAGTACCAAATGCAATTTTAAGAGCTTGTCAAAATAAATATATTCGATAAAAAATATATAGTATAAAAGTGCTAATTGAATAGTTTGGAGAGTTTTAAATTTTTACTAAGTAGAGTCTTAAATTTTTATTAAGTAGTAAAAAGTAGGAAAAACGATTAATTTAATAAATTATAAATAACTACTTATATAATTGCAAAATACACGACAGTCAAATTAAATGCATAATATACTATAGCAAAATCAAAGGTACAATGTACTACAATCAAACCAAATGAATTCTCATCCAATATCGAAAGTTTATAACAAAATGTTTGGAGATGTCATCTATAAATAAGTGAGTTAATAAATGGGTAAGCAACCTTTTGTGCATTTTAATCCAATTGACTAAAAGTTAAAAAAGGTTGAAAAATTTGTAATTATTAAACCTGTTTAAGAATTGGAAAAATTGGGAAAAAAAAAATTAATTTCAACATATATTTTATTTTTCCTAATTTTCTTTATTTTCGGATCGGGGAGACTTTAAAGAAATACTCTTAATATTGAAATCATTTTGAAATATTAGTAGAAGAGTCGCGCCATACAATTATGCCTTGACTAAAACTAGGGGTGAACGCGGTTCGGTTTGGACGGTTTGTGTTATATTTTCGACTCAAACCATTTTATGTGGTTTGAAATTTTTCCAAAACAAACCAAACCATAATTTGCGGTTTGATTCGATTTTAATCCGCGGTTTACCTATCGACATTATAGTAATATATTTAACATAAGTTACCATATAAGTTTAAACGAGAACAAATAATGTTACCATAAAATTCATGAATAAATTATTTTCAAAGTTGGTTGCTAAAATATGTTATAAGTACATCTTTTTTCATTTTTATTTACCTTTTCTTGTTTGACATTTATATTGTCATATAGAGAATGGTGTAAAGGTAGAGTTACATTCTACTATTATAGGTTGGTTAAAACTCATTTCGTCTTGCTAGCGAAATGTTAAATAAAGATTGAATGGGATAAGTTTATATGTACAAAGATTGATAAAATTTCGACTTACTGGAAATTGACGAATTTCATTATCTAACTATTTTATGAAAGTAGAAAGTAGTAGTACTAGCTAGGGAACTTAAACATTTTCACATAATTAATACGCTCAGTCCTTCGTTCTTTCCAAATCACGAACAAATTCGTTAATCATTTAGGCACACAAAAAGTTATTTTTCTATCTAAATCACAACTTACAAGTGTATAATAAGTTCAAAAACAACAAATAAAAGAAGAACAATGGAAAATGCTTGAATGAGAATTTGAGACTTACTGAAAAAAGAAGAGAGAAAGAGGTGATTCAAGTAGAAATTAGCATACTAACATTAAAAAGCGACTCACAATTTGTTCAGTAGTGGCAGACAAACGTCAAATGTTAGGGAAACGAGAGTTTATGTTGTGGTTTATGAAACTTTGGATGTGATTTGCTGATGTAATTTTGTTGAATTATGATTTGAATTGATGAAAATATATGTTTTTTTTCCTTCATTTCACGTGATTTTGGAATAATTTTAGCTTAGTTTAGTTTAGATTTTAGGTGAGGATATATGTTGTGAGCTTGTTAAATCATAGGGTAATAATGATGAACCTAATTTACTTTTTATGATTATTTCAATATGCTTATTGTAATTTGTATTGCTAAATTGGTATTTATTTTTCTTTTTGAAAAGTAAAAATTGTAAAATTTTTAAGTTAATAAAATTAATATTTTAATTAAAAAATTTAAAAACGGTTCGGTTTGATTTTGTGCGATTTTTGAAAATCAAAACCTAAACCAAACTATTTTGAAACAGTTTGGTTTAGTTTGAGGGAATAAAAACCACGGGTCCACATGGACCCGAACTAACGGTTTCGATTCGATTTGCGATTTCGTGATTTTTTTGTGTAGCCCTAACTAAAATCGTAATAAATACGGTTAAAATAATTAATTAATTTTTTATAAGACTAAATGACTTTTATTGATGAACACTCACCTGTGATGAAGGAATACCGTAGTTACATAAGATTTGCAAAACACCATCCATATCAAAGTAAGCCAAATTACTTGTAATTTAGAACAACATTGAAAGATTTAAAGACAAACTGTGAGGAGAAAAGCCACAAAAATTAGGGATGCTTAGTTTATCCATACGCAAAGCTCTTGTAACTGATGATGGGATTATGATAGAGTCCATCCAGATATGTGAAACACAAGACGCTCCCAACTTCGACAGAATATCAGCAACCGAGTTACCCTCTCGATATATGTGTTGGATTCTACAATAGATTATAGACAGGAGGTATTGTATCTCTTCTCAGTAATCTTCTAGATACCAAATACCACAAACCTTCCTCCTTAACCAATTAACGATAATCAATGAATCTATCTCCACTTCAAGATGGTTAATCCCTATCCTTTTAGCATGTTGAAGCCCATATAATAATGCCAATAGCTCAGCTCCATTATTAGTACCCTCACCAAGTTGCTCAGCAAAGGCTATGACAATATCACCTCTTTCATTCCGAATAATACCTCCAGCACTACAAATTCCAGGATTGTCCAGGCAGCACCCATCATTATTGAGTTTGTGCCACCCTTCCAGTGGTCGTTGCCATCTCACTACTTTAAAGTTTTTCCATTTAATTGGCTTGTCTGGGATATTAAGCTCCCTCAACACCCATTCATCTCTTCTGTTAAATGTTCTCACTTTTTTTTAGTTTTAGCCCCACCCAAAGGATCCAAATTTTAATTTTCCTCCAAGTAGCTTCTATAAATTCCCTCTTGTCCTCCATCTTGGCTGAACATCGCCACAACCATAAATGCCAGCAAATAATACTAGGAATAATACCCACTAGAGTACCTTTATGTGATGTATGTTTTGCTCTTCGGAACCAGGTTTCTACGCGCTCCCTCCACCCTCGAGTCTCTATATATTGAATTCCCAGTAAGGTTGAAGCATTTTGCCAAATTTGTTGGGCAACGTCACCCAAGGCCAATACGTGATCCTGATCCTCATATCTCCCTTGAGAGCAACACATACACTTTAATAAAATAGGAATGACTGCCTTTCGAATTTTGTCATCTACTGAGAGGCCTCCTTTCATGGCTAACCACATACTTAATGAAATGTTCTTTGGTAGTGTTGGGTGCCAAATCTATTCATGCCACTGTGATATCTGCCCCTGACGTCTAGTAGCTTCCCAACCACTTTTTGCAGAAAATTTTCCAACCAAATTTTCAGTCCAAATCAGTTTGTCTTTACCTGTCTCATATTTCCCAATTTAAGAAGAATTTCTCCAGCTTGATCTTTCCCAGCTAACTCCTCCAAGAGTCTTTCATTCCATCCGTTGTCAGCTTTAAGATCCTTGATCAAGATTTTAGGCTGTTCAACCACTAACAACTGATCACCCAAAGGATCTATGTTTGACCATCTATCCCACAAGAACGAAACACTACCTTCCTTCACTCGCCATCTAGATCGTTTGAGAACATCTGGAATGCATTTTATAACCATCTTCTAGAATCTTGATCCTTTAGTAGCATCCACCTGGGATATATGTTTGTCTTTGATATATTTTGCCCTAAAAAATTTTGACCAAAGAGATGTTTCAGTCAAAATTTTCCAAGCAAATTTCATATTTAGTGATAGTTGTACTTCATGTAGACTACAAAGTCCAGCACCGCCTTCTTTAACAGGCATACAAAATTTGTCCCATGCTACCCATTTCTTCTTAGGCTTTCCATCCGCATATCCCCAGAAGAAATCACTAAATATTCTATTGATGACTTTCATAACCGAGGAAGGAGCTTCTATACAAGAAATCAGATGCAGAGGTATACTTGTGAGGACATGTTTCAGAAGCAGTAGTCTAGCCCCTTTAGATAAGACTCTACTTTGCTAACCTGCCAGTCTCATACGAATTTTTTCTACCACTTTCTCAAGTTCTCAAGCTCTCAATCTTTCTGTGATTATAGGAACCCCTAAATATTTGAAAGGGAATTTAACTTCAAAGAATCCAGTGAGTCGTAAGAGCATCCGTCTTCTTGACACGGTGATCTGTTTAGAGAAAAGGATGAATGTTTTATCAACACTTACAACCTGTCCTGACCATTCTTCATATTTTATGAATACTTCCTTAATAGCTCTTAACGATTTTTTTCCACCATTCGTAAATATCACGATGTCATCAGCATACAGTAGCTGAGAAATTAGGGGAGCCGCCCTTGGCAAGGAAAAAGGTCTTATGCTTCCATCTTCATATTTAGCTCTCAACATTCTGGATAAAACTTCTTCAACCACGATAAAGAGATATGGGGATAGGGGATCCCCTTATCTCAAACCTCTTCTACCTTTGAAGAAACCCTCCATAGTTCCATTCATCATTACAGAATACCAAGGAGAAGTTATACACTGTCTTACCAGATCACAAATCTTGGGCGAGAGGCCAAAAGATCTCAAAACGTGCACAAGAAAATCCCAATCAATGCTATCATATGCTTTTGGCAATATCCACTTCAAGCAAAACATTTCCACCCTTTACAGGCTTGTGAAAATAATGAATCATCTCTTGAGATAGAGTAATATTATCAAAAATACTTCTCCCCGGAATAAAAGCACCTTGCTCCATAGAAATTATTCTTGGTAGAATTAAAGATATTCTTTTAACCAAATTTTTTTACCATACTTTGTACATTACTGAGCATAGACTGATTGGTATGAACTTGTCAAAACTCGAAGGGGAAGCTATCTTCGGAATTAGCACCACGTAGGATGATGATTAAAATCTTGGAATATCCGTACATTGAAAGAAATCGCACACTGTCTCCAGAACATCTTCACTCACAATGTCCCAACAAGATTTATAGAAGCCAGAGCCAAATCCATTAGGCCCAGGGCTACTGTCAACTGGGATAGAAAAGACTGCTTCTTTGACCTCCTGGGGGGGTAGGGAGCTTTCCTATTTCCTCATTCTCTACTTCTGAAACCTTTAGTTGGATCCAGGTTGATAAGTCTGGTTGGTCTCTTCTGGGTCTAGCTCTTAATAAATTTTGAAAATAGTCAACCGCTGCGTGATGGATAGCCTCAGGATTTTCAAGCACCGACCTGTCTCTTAGTCTCATCTCCTTGACCTTGTGAAAGGTCCTACAATTAAATTGCTTGAAGAATTGATTGCTTACTTCACCTTTCTTAATCCACCTCTGCTTTGCTATTTGTTCCAGGCACATTCCTTCTTTCTTTTCTCAAATTTCAAGTTTTGTTTTTGTAGCAAAATATGCATCCTCAACCTCCTCTGAATGAGCCACT